AATAATAATCTCCGTATTCACCGCTGAGAGGCCACGAATGTGACTACACTAACCCGCTCTGTATATATATATATATATATGTGTGTGTGTGTGTGTGTGTGTGTGTGTTGTAATATGAATCTTCTCTCATCTCATCATGTTTTAGAGAACGCTCAATTGATAAAACGTCGTTAAAGGGGTGTTACTGATGAAGCTCCGATCACGGGGTCACGCCATGTGGGGCCACGGGAAATATCCGTTGTTTTTGGTTTTAAAAATGAAATTAGCAAAGTGATGAGGGTGGATGGGGCAACTCGGGCCCAGGCTTAATGACGTGGACTGGCTACACAAACAGTTGACAGTCGCTACTGTTTCCTTCGCGCACTCTGCTGGCGTTGATTGAAACTACAGACGTGACGTAGATGAAAGAGTTTCGGATTTGTATAGCTTTTGTGAAAGGTGCGCGCCTTTGCCTTCAGGTCCCAAACGTGCTCATTTGGCTGTCGCCGATACGGATGTGACAATCGCTGGGGTGAAAAATGCACCTAAGCGAAATTAGTTAATTTGAGAAATGGAAGGCGTCTGAGGACGAGGAGGACGTGTCTGGTATGGGGCAGCCCCACGGACTGGACGTGAAGCTCTGGCGGGGGGTGTTGCCCCTCACAGCTCGGCTGCTACCTGTTGCATTCACTTGTGGGGAGGGTTGAGTGAAGATACGCAACCTGCAAATTACCTGAAATAAAACTGTGTAGAGTTGAAAATGACTATCCTCTGGGATATAACTCCGTGTAGTCCGCTAAAAATCAACCGACGTTTCGGAGAAACATGTCCCCCATCTTCAGGTTTGCAGAATAATAAGCTCAGCGAGAGACGAGTAAGATCCAGTAGTCACCTGCTTTAACTGTGGTTTCTTGCTTCGCTTATTATTCGACCCTGAATATGGACGCCATATGCTTTTCCGAAACATCGCCTGAATAACAACTGACTACACGGAGCTATATCCCAGAAACTCTTCATAAGTACCGCTGTGAGAACCTCGAATGTTACATGAGTGAAATTGTGTCTGTGCTTAATGAAACACCGCATTATGGAGCGCCATGGAGAGTGGGGGGTATCGTCACGCATTGCTCACCTTGGCAGTGAGTGAGAAGCTTCACGCCCCGTCTTCTTAACCCAGGAGAAAGAGCCTCTGGCGGGCGACTCCAAAGCCGGTCTGAGCGCTGTGGTGAAGATGCCAGTTACACAGAACCTTTCAGTTCATGATCTCTGCTAGAAACTTACGTCAGTGTTTCTCAAGCAGTGGGACGTCCGGCCACGAAAATTGTAATTCGTTCAGTCACACAACCAGGCCTGTGTTGTACTGTGACTCCGGTTCTGCTTATACAGCCCCTATATAATCAGAGTGCTTAGTTTCTGACGACTTCATCAGTGGTTAATAGATCATCAAAATGTTCGTAATTATAAAATTACGCTCTCTGAAGAAATAGTAGTTTTTTTATAGGCTAAGCTTATCTGAGCGGTGAACGTGGATATTTGGGCCGTGTAAAAGCGACAAAGGCCATTGATGTTTCGAGGGAATATATCGCCTCCATCTTCACGGTTGAGGACTAAACAAAGCAAGATATCAATATGAAGATAATAGCAAGCAGAGCATTTTTCTTCTTCTTGTTTTTGGCCAAACGCCCCAGTGTGACGCGAAATGCGGAATTTTGAGCTGGACAGATCGAGTGGCCACGTGGCCCAGTGACAGGGGGCAACACAACAGCTGCATCCCGTGTGCAGTTATGTGCTGTGGTTGCCGACACTAATCAGCTCTGCCCATGCAGAGCAGTGTGTTGCGTTTATCATGTGTGAGTCTCATAAGCCTCATGCATGTTGCCCAGAATTCAATAAGAGCCCCACACGAACTCATATTCACATATCTGACCTCGCTTCCCCCACAGCAGGTGTTGGACGGTGGGGGGGGGGGGTTCAATACCGGTCTCTCTGTGACTGACGTCCCGAGCACCATTGTCGTTTTATAAGAAAGCACAATTCTTCGGCTGTTTGAGCACACGCCACTCGTCCTGACGGTTGTGTAGGATTTCTTATTCTCTCAAAACTGAAAAATCGAACAATGAACTAGATCAACATTACATTGGCGTTACTCTTTCGTTTATTTTCCTTTCAAACACCATCGTACAATATTAAGAAATTACGTTACGAGGCGCCATGTTCTCTACGAGGTTCGGCTCCGGTTCAGTGTGTTGTTTCGCGTCTTGCTCTCCAGAGCGCGCCAAAAGCGCTCGTCCTCCGGGTTTGTGTCGGTATCTGCCACCCGCTTTCCCCTCACAGGCCACCAGGGGTCGGATTTTGACGACATTTCCCGGGTTCGAATCTGAACGAAACAATAAAAGACATTATTTTGCTAATTTCGCCTGGTGAATGCCCCTGACTTTAAGCAACAAGGGCACTGTTTCTGCACAGGTGGTGATCAAGTATTGTAATCAAAGCTGCTATTATTATTATTGTTTTGTACATTTTATTTATGAGTCAGGATTGCACCTGACCCTGAGCCTCAGCACGCGTGACACCTTCGAGAAGAACACATTTCAAATGAAAATAAATTAAACCTGGACTGAAGCTGGGAAGGAGGAACAGCAACTGCCTTATTATTATTATTATTATTATTATTATTATTATTATTACGTATATAGGGATTATACAGGGTTTAATAATTGGCATTAGGTATTTTACCTTCTTATTTTCATTATTTACAAAATAACATATTTCCTTCAGCAATAAAATAGCAATGAAGCCGCGTGAGTTTCTGAGGGAACAATCACCCAGTAGAGGGCTGCACGCACTGTCGGATGGGCATTGCCTATTCCTTTTTTATGTTTACAATTATTTTTCACTCTAAGAAAACCATTAGTGCTGCTGGTAGGTGCATCTGCCATCAGAGCTACTCATATAACCAGTTTCCTGAGACTCGCAGTTTTCATTAGTTCAATATTGGGTCTTACGTTGAAATAGCGAGTGCTGAAGGAGAGACTGAATGAGTGTGGTGCGCAGTTTCATATGAACGACAAATTATCTCTTACAATTATCATAATCGCCATATTCATAGTCTGTGCGCAGTTCAAGCATATGGCAAAGAACTTACCTGGGATAGAAAATCTTCTGGAGACGGTGACGTCATCCTTGGAGACTCTTTCTTACCGCGGGCGGCCCAAAATGGCTCCTCAGCCGACAAGGATTCCAGGAAGCCTCGTCTCCCCCTTGCTGCCCAAAAAGGTTCTTCGGCTGAAAGAGATTCCCGGAAACTAACCCTTGTACCCCTCTTCTCTTCTGATTCTTCGTCAGTTCGCCTTCCTCTTGCGGCCCAGTAAGGCTGTTCAACAGATATGGATTCCAAGAGACTACGTTTGCTCCTAGAATCCTGAGCTGCCCAAACAGGTTCATCAGCAGACATTGATTCGGTGAGCTCATATGTATCATCAGTTTCGTCAGCTGCTGACCTTTTCGGAGTTCCTGACCAAGAAGATTTCACAGCAGACGTCAGCTCCTGTAGTCCGCTTCCGCCGGCGTCTTGTAAAATGGATTTCTTGCCGCGTGCTGCCCAGAAAGGTTCTTCAGCGGATAATGATTCAAGAAAGCCCCGTGTGTTTCTCAAATCCTCATTGGTTGATCTACGACCGCGAGGCGACCAATAAGGTCCATTCAGGAGACCATACCTGCTTCGTAAATCATCCAGGAATTTGAAGCTACTTCTCCTTACCCTGGCTGACCAAAACGGCTCCTCAATCAACTCTCGTAAATCAGTTTCTGCCCGCGGAATTTTTCCTTCCCGAAAGGGTTCTTCAGAGGACAGAAGTCCGTGTAGTCCTTGCATCGATGCCCAGAGTGAGTCCTCTTTTTCTGAAGCATATAGGGGCTCGCGATCTCGCCGACCTCGAGCTACCCAGAAAGGGTCCTGTGGATTAGTGAAAGGCTCGCTCGAGTCTGTGGAATCATCTGGATCATCACGTCTGTCCAGAAGTATGTAGCGAGGTTGTTCAGCGTACAGCGGTAGCTCGAGACGTAGTCTACCTCCTGCAAGGAGCAGAGTGGTACCGTCTTAAGGGCAACAACGCACACGGAATTCACACTCTTATCTCATGTAATGGCAAAATTTCGACTTGGTCTCATTTACAGTTTCGTTCTTTAACCGCAGTTCTTGGGGCATGCGGTAGCGTAGTTGGTTGTGGCACTGTGCTACAAGCCGGAAGTTCGCGGAATCGAATTCCGATGAGGTCTTCGGATTTTTTCAGTTTACCTAATCCTTCCAGCCGCACTATGGCCCTGGGGTCGACTCAGCCTCTAACAGAAATTAGTACCAGGAATATTCGTGGAGTGTTTTTGGGGGTAAAGGGCAGCTGACGCGTAAGGCTGATCTTACCGCCATCTGTGAGCCTATTGTCTAGAAAATTTGGGGAGCTCAACATCTCAGAACCCTGTGGGCTTCCACGGCCTGTTACAGGGATAGCTTTACTTTTTACTTTACCGCCAGTTCTTATCTATGCACGATTTATGGTGCCTGGTGGCGGAACGATTATGAATGTATTTGGAAAGGCCAAGGAAGTGGTCGTAGCCCACTCTGAAGTACAACTATAATCCTGTAATTTATTTAAATGAACAGAGCGTAACTATAAACCCTACGTCACTACCGAAAGACTACTGTTTCTACGAGAAGCAGTTAGTTTCTATAACCACACATTTATCATCTGTGCCACAACTCACTGTCTTCGCGAAGGGTGCCGGGTCTCCAGTAGGGCCGCAGTCCCTGCGACTTCTGCCGCAGAGATCTCCCTCTGTTGGCCCAGAAAGGCGGTGCGTCGCTTCTCCGGCCACGGGCTGGCCAGAAACCAGGGTCGAGTTTGTTCCCCAAGGCGGCGCGTACATCGCTTCGCGTCACGCGATGCTTGGCGTCACGTCCTGAGTGAGCTGTAATCCTGTTGTCTGTCTGAAAGCGAAGGGACGTAGACTTGGTGCGCCTTGTGCCGGGGAACAGTCACAGCGTGGAAAGGGTTCGAAACTAAAGTAGACATATTTGAGGTTCATGAGCAAAATTATAGCTAAATCCATGACGATAGAACGGTCTTGGAAAGGTCTCAATAAATTTCCTACATCTTATGGAACCCAATGTTAATTGTGTTTCAGCCTCCCCTCACTTCTGCCCTCTTCATGAAGACCAACGTTTCTCGTGCTTTGGGTCGACAGCCCGACCAAGAGAGAGAGAGAGAGGAAGAACAGACTTGACGTTCTCACGGCGGTGGTTATGAAGTCGGGCACATGATTTCCATGCATGCTACATCCCACTCCATCTCATTTCTTTCTACTCAATTAAAACAACAGCAATAAGGAGCAGTATTTTGGATGTGGTGCCGTGTACTCAGGTAGAAGCTCACGGACGTTTCGGAATTATAAACTGCCTCCATGCTCTAGGACGAAGAGTAAGCCAAACAAACAACGGGTGCTCTGTGCTTTTTGCTAGTTGTTTGTTAATTTTCTCTTCGATCCTGACGATGGCGGTAATGAGTTCATCCGAACGTCAGTGAGATTCTACCCGTCTACACGGCATATCGTCCAAGAAGATAAATACTCTTCATTTTTGTATTTTTAATTGATGGAATAAGCTGAGATGCAATGTTCACGCAGCATGCATGGAAATCACGTGTTTTGATTATGGTGATCCAAGCTGAAAGATAGAGGAGGATGGTGCTGTGTTCTGGTGGAACGTGGTTCGAGTCTCGACTGTGCACTATATATATTTACGGGGGTTATTTATGGTTTTTCTCAGTCCCTCCAAGGCAACTGCTCGGATATCGGCACATCAGAATAGACTCAACATTTTTGTGTCGTCCTGTGTACAGTAATGAGCGTATTTTATTTATTTAACTCAGGTTACATAGCGTCAAAAGGTTTGGTGATTGGTGAGTGATGAATTGGAAGGAAGAGGTTCTGACCTGATTTAAGGCACTACTGCAAAATTTTAATGGGGGGATTGAGGAAAAGCAAAAAGAAACTCAGTCACGACAGTTGGTTTCCTGACAGACTTTTGGGCCCGAAACCTTCCCAACAAAAAGCAGAGTGCTATCCGCTGGACCACGACAGCCGGACCAGTAGATATAGCGTCGCTAAACAAGACAGCACATGAACAGCTGTACCAAGAGTCTGCAGTTTGTAATCATTCGGGAGTGTCATCGTACCCGCCAACAGCTCAGTGCTTGCTGGCCAGTTTGTTGGAGACACCGCATTTCCATGGTGACGCTGCGAGATTGTAATGCGTCGTGCATAACTCTGAAGGGGACATTGCTAAGAAATTTGCCGTAGTCGCATGAAGAAGTGCGGATGAAATCAAATCGATCGGTCGTCGTGAGAGAGCAGGAAATTTGTGTTGAGGTAACGCAATTAACGTTTCCAGTGTCTCTCCACCCCTCAGCTTCCCCGAGAACCCAAAGCAGCAGACGCACCGGGAGGCAGGATAGCTCAGTCAGTGTAGGGACAAGACCTCGGGTTGGACAGTCGAGGAATCGGGGTTCTGTTTCCGGCAACGACAAGATATTTTTCTCTTGTCTACGGCTTCGAGATCGGGGCCCACCATCTCCATAACCAATGAGAACCAGAGTAAAGTAGCCGGGGCGTGAAGCCGACAACCCACCTGATCTAAAACCGAAGACAGACGAGTAAGAGGAAATAGTGTAGATATTGGCACGGAAACACCAGAGAAATTTGGAAAACATTTTCCATTGCCACTTCTTCCACCTTGAAATTCGCATGAAGTTATCCGGGATTGATCCTAGGCCTCTCAGACGGAAACCCAGCGTCTATCTGCCTGAACTGTGGCCCGATCTTGAGAAATGAATTTGGGAAACAAATCTGAGTCTATTTTCCTCACTTTTGAAACAATTCGTGCTAATTAACAGTTAATGATGACAATTTCCCTCGTGACGTCACACCACCCTCTTTCCTTTTGATTGTTGTTCTGAGGCAATTAGCATCTCTTGTGTCTCGCTAATACCTGTTGTTACGGACGCCACCGGTAGGTGGTGCTGAGAGCAGCAAGTGGTCTGTAAGTGATTAGTGGTGAATAAGAAACTCGGAACGGATGAAGCCAATTGAGACTGGAAGTGAGTGAGGAGTTGCATTACAGAAAACTGTGTGGGTGAGAGAGAAACTGTATACTTGACAGTCTCCTGCTACTGTTTTCCATCTGGCGGGATATTTTAAAATTAATTTTGACTGATCATCCATGTTAATAGTGATGCAGTGAAGTGAATATGCCTTAGAATTATACAGGGTGGTTCTTTTAAAGTTGTAAAAGTCCAAGGAAATTTGAAAATAATTTTTCAAGAAATAATGTATGAGCGTGTGGACCGGATCCACCTGGAAGAATACAATCTTCTGCATTGTGACTCCGTGTAGTCTGGTAGATTACCGACGTTTCTGAGGAAAGTCGTGCCTGCATTTTCAGGGCGGAAGGGCGTATGACACAGCAGAGTATACAATTGAGGCAATACTCTTTTTACAAACAGTAAACGTTTACCAGACTACACGGAGTCATTCCAGAAGACCTTAAGAACCTCAAATACCGCATGGGTTCATCTAACTCAGGATAGGGAGAAGTTATGTGCTTTCGTGAACATGGTAATGAACCATTGGGTTCCATGAGAGGCTAGGAATATTCTGATGAGCTGAGCGACTGTTAGCTTCTCAAGAATTATGTAGTTGGACTTAGTTACAACAAAGTCGCGCCATAGGTGAAGCGGTTAGTAGCTGGCTACCCACCGCGGCGGCCCGGGTCCGATCCCGGGTCTGGTCTAGTGGGATTTCTGGTGGGCAAAGTGGCGCTGGGGCGGGTTTTCTCCAAGTACTTCAGTTTCCCCTGTCAATCTTCATTCCACCAAATTCTCCATCATCATAACCACCCGGGGCAGGTACAATAGGCCAATCAGTGGCCACTGTGCTGAGTAGACCCACCAATAAGGGAATAAAAAAAATTAAATTTTAATTACAACAAAGTACTCACTGTGTTTGTGTCTGATAGTTCCGGTAAGGACCACACTAAGTCGCTGCAACCACACGCCACCACTAGCGACACCACGACTAGTGACGGCAACATCCTGCAACATGCAAAGTACATGTCGCCGTGCAAAATGGCAGGTGTGTTTGCTTCAGGTGTTAATTTCGGTGAACCTTTTCCCAAGTTATGAGCTAAATGTCTCGTTTTGAAACCAGCCGTCCTCTCAGATGTCTCTAGTCTCTTGACGCTTCAACCTAAGCCTTTCTGTGACATTCGGACTATTGAGAACTTTGCAGCGCTCTATGTATACAAACTGTATATTGCCCAATGGTGCTAAGGCAGACGAACTACGAAAGATTTGGAACCGCACGTTGGCCGAGGGGTCAACTCAGCCTCTAACCGAAATGTATACCAGGAATATTCCAGAGGGTAAAGGGCGGCCGGCTCATAAGGCTGACAACATCACCGCAATCTATAAGCCGATTGTCTATAAAGTGTGGGCGCTTCGATGTCTCACAACCCTACGGGCCTCCACGGGATGTTACAGGGTTAGCTTTACCTGTCTGTCTACCTTTAATCACTATCCCAGTATTTTCAGTGAGAGACTGAGGAAAACCATGCAAAGCCTCAGTCGGGATAGACGGTGTCCTAGTCCAGATTGGAACCGAGCACTTCCTAAATCTTAAGTCAAAGGTTTTACCGTTGTATAAAATTGCAGATTTTGGGATATGACGCCGTGTAGTTTGAAGTATTTTTCAGTGTTTCGAAGGGATATTCTGCCTTTATTTTCGTAATTTTCCCCGAAGATGGAGGCAGCAAGTTCCTCTAAAATAATAGTAAAGTTCTGCCATATTACACGACGTCACACCCAAGGAGACTGTAATTAACTGTTGCCACCCAAATCATATGAACATTTCCTTTGACATATATTACACTGCCCCAGAGGGGCCAAGTAATCCTTCCTTTTACAGCTTCTAACCGCATTTTGTATGCATTTCCCATCTCTATGCGTGCTGCATTCCCTTCCCACCTCTTCATTATTTAGTCACCCTGACGACAGTTAATACTATCCAGCCAATGGTCTCCTCCCCTGTGTCCTACTCGGAAGATCCTGGATTCAAGTGACGGCCCCCTAAACGGAACATCCTGACCGGACCGAGAATAGCGCCTCAAATTGCATCACAACTGCTTTCTTGCACATTCTTTCCAATTCATTACTCACCGATCTTCCCAGCCTTCGACACTATGTTTCCTGAGCTAGTGACAATTTGTTAAACAAACCTAATAAATAAAGATAACATTACTCCTGCGCTTGAGTAAGCTCCACACCATGAAGGCGTATGGGAGAGTGGAGGTGTAGCTCCATGCATTCATTACTTTAGCACAAGATTGAGGTGAGTTGTCAGTTTCTCGCCTCGGCCAATTTATCTTCTGGGGAAGAACGACTGATACCCAATGGATGGAAGGTTGTGTACGGTCGCTGTGGGGAGCGGAAAACCTATTGTCTCGACCGGGAATACAAGTATGATTTCTCGGCCGGCCAGTGTGTAGCGTGGTCACTACACGGAATGTGCTATCCCGGATCTAGTATAAATGTTTGTCAGTTCCTGTCTATTGTATCCAAAATATCTCCCTTGGGACTCTGTTATCAATGTACCCTCCAAAAATTTACCACCTCCGAACGCGAGGAAACAAATTACGTAACAGTATCTGTTGCTACTATTATCCATACACAGATACTTTTATACTGTGCTCGAAACATCTCTGAGGATACGTCATACCTTGAGTAGGCAACCTTACGGAAGCAAATTCCCCTACGTTCAATGTGGTCTCCTGTGTGGAGTTATTGCTTCCTATCGCATGTTGAAATCAGAGTCTAGCGAATATTTGCTTCTAGGTTGTGATGTTGTGTAGTGCTGTAGAAGTTCACCTACGTGTGGGAAGGACGTGCTGCTTCCATCATCAGGGTAGACCAAGCAAGTAACCGGCAAGAAGCAGGCTACAAACATATTCTTCAATCATGAAGACGCAAGCAGTGAACTTCTACCGGACTGCACGGCGACACATCCCAGAAGGCAGTGAGCGTAACATTGCAATGATGACGTAATGGTCACGACAACCTCAGAAATGTTTCGGACACAAGTCGCTCTAAACACGGTCGTCGTACCTGAGATCAGCGTCTTGGCGGCCGCTACTGCTCTGCGGGCTGCGGTTCTAACGGGGCAGGTTAAATACCTGTTGCTGTGGGACGCGTGGGGTCAGCCGACACGGATTGTGGCTGTCAGCTGTTTCTTCAGATTAGCGCGGGGACTTTGGGAGCGGAGACGCACCGAGACTTGACGTTTCTTAATGGAATTACAGAGAAGTCGCCTCAGGCAGACGGACCGGGACGGGAGCGGCCCATTGTCCAATTTAATATACAGGACGTTTCGGAAGATGTTTCTAATTCGTCTGCATTATAGCAGCAGGTTTTGTTGTACGAGATTACAGTTCCGGAAATGACGCCGTGTATATTGTGAGACCTATTTCACGACGCTGTCGGCAGAGAGGCTATACTCGTATAGCGTCAAGAGTTAGGATTACAGATGAATGATGAATTCGGGAGGATTTGCATGGAAGAGGTCGTGGCCTAATCGAGACACTGTCCTACCACTTGTCAGGGAGGGACTGAAGAAAATGGTGAGAAGTCTCAATCTCTGTCTGTGCTGAGATTCCAACCAAACACTTCCCATCCAGCTGATAACGTGCAATCTGGCAAATCCCTCCCGACGTTTCGAAGACACTTGCCGTCGCCGTCTTCATTCTACAGCAATCGGTATCTACTAGACTTCACGGCATCACATCCAAAAAGGGAAATGGTATTTAATTTTTATTTTATGTGTTTCTTTATATAAACAAGGTAAAGTTTTCCTTGTGCTTAATTAATTAAGCACTGTGCCATGAACACGTATGGAGGAGTGGAGGTATAGATCCACCATTTTTTACCTCGGCACTAGATGGAGGTGTGTGGTCAGCTTCACTTTCCGGCAGCTTTACCCAGGGAAGGAGCCCCCGTACCCATTGTGCAGGACGGTGGGTGGACTCCAGAGTCGGTCTGGACGCCGTGGAGAAGAGAGAAGCTTTTTACTGCCGGAAGTGGAACCCGGCCCGTCCAGTTCTTAGGCCGTCGGTATAGCGACTGAGTTACCCCGTCTCCTTGTTTCTGGATATGCGACATTAATCTTTGCTGCTCGTTCCCTGATTTACGTATTGCTTCGTTTCCTACAGGCTGCGCTGTGCGGGAAGCCTAATCAGATATTATTCTTGGTTTTCCCATGTCCTTCTTTCTTTTTCATTACAATCTTCGATGCTTTCCGACTATTTCCGCCCTGATTCATAGCCAGTCGGTGGGCCCCAAAACAGGGTTGGCTGTCCGCTTCTGAAAGCCAGCAGTCGTCGCCGTCGAAATGATGTTTCTTTGTTTGTGACGCTGTCAGTAGCGACGAACGTTCGGATGACAATTGTGGGTACTGACTCAGCATTTGACTGGATTAGTTGAGGAAGTTCATGAGATCCCTCAGTGACGTCGGCCGGGGTTTTAGTCGAGATTTGAACCAGATACCTTGCTTCTTGCATCAGCCATCTTGCTGGGCCGAAATGTTATCCGAAGGCCCGAACGTAATATATTTTTTTTTTTTTTGCATTTGAAGTTCTCACAACGATGGTTATGAAGAATATTCTACTGGGATGTAACGCCGTGTAGTCAACCGACGTTTCGGAGGAACATCACTTGCTCTGCTTGTAACCTGCTTTCATACTGGTTTCTTGCTCGACTTCTTCGACCGTAAAAATTGAGCCGATATATTCCTCCGAAACGTCGGTTGCATTTCAACGGCTACATAGCATCGTGTCCCAGAAGATGGTACTACAGAGATGAACGCAGCGGTTGGCGCACTTCCGAGCGGAGCAAGCTTTCGAACCCCTTGTTCTGTGAACACTCATTTGTTGACGTAACTGTTCGGCCGTTTGTAACAACGACGCATGTGACGTAATTACCCGCTCGCGCCGAGCATCGAAACGCGCTCGTAACGCATAGAATTGCCTTAAAATGTTAATTTCATGTTTAAAATTATTGGAGCTTTATTATTTGAGAGGGTGCACTCAAATTCAATGGAACAGAACGCGACATGCATTCTGAGCGCTCCCACGCGGCCTCATTTGCAACCAACTGGAGACAGCCTGACCCAATGCGCGAGGATTACAGGACAGTGGTCGATCTTGTGACTAACTGACCACAAGCATACGGTCTTGTAGTTTAAAAAAATCAGTTATCATGACAAAACAAAAAACTGCGATCATGAAATAGCGCAAGTTTAACAGATATGATTAAATCAAGAGATAAAATAGTTCCCGTGAGTTAATCCCGCTTGAACAGATACAAACATGAGACGTAATTTGGATTCGATATCGAGCATTAAATACAGAGCGAATCATTTTGTTGGGGTTGTACCGCGCAGGCGTCAGCTTGGCACGGGATGGAACGGACGAGTCTTCCCGGCGGCCTGCTCCGTGAGAGTGTGTTGCTGCGTGCGATGCTGAAAATGGAGGGGATATTTCCTGTCGAAAGGTTGGAACATCACATTTAGGCAGACCAGGCGGCCAGGCGCCGCACGCGTCCAAGATCTGCAGCGGGCTGCTCTCTACGTGGGTTCTGTAATCCTGCAGAAGTCTGCAGGATCCTGAAGTGTCTTGTTCACAGAGGAGCTCTGGGCATAACGTTATATTCTGTAGCCGAACTCGAAACTTGTGTTTCGATGAAGCAAGTCTGGGTCTGTGTTTTCAGGGCGCGTCAGAGGGAACAGTGACGGGAATGTAGCGTGCTCGTCTCTCTGAAACAGCGTCTGGGCCAGATCGCATCGCGTCACTCAGTTTGTTTTTGCCTTTCCGTGCAATGCGACGCTTTCAGTAATCCAGGCCACCGAGCATCGAATGCTAGGATTATAGACAAATGATGAATTAAGAAGTATTTTGAGGGGAGTAGTCTTGGCTTAAGTGAGGTACTATCCCGCAATTTGCCTAGAGAGACTGAGGAAAATCACAAAATTCTCACTCAGGATAGTGAGTGACCCGACTACAACTCGAACATTGCACCTCCGGAATACGAACTCAGAGTGTTTCCGCCAAGCAGTCAGCTCAGATGTCGCTGTCTCATGTGAGTAACACGCCGTGTGTATTAGTTGGTGGGCCCAACCGCCGCTGGAGCTGGAGGTAGTCGGTACAGGCTGGACGGCCGGAGAATTGAGTTCGAGTCCCGGTCGTCCAAACCGATTTTGGGACCCACTCAGCCTCCTATCCAAAGGGTACCGAGGGATCTTTCACCTGAACTAAAGCGGCAGGGACGTGGAGCCAACCACTCACCTCCAACTAATGCCGAGATGAATACGTGAATCTGTACCTCCACTTACCCAAGTCTCCATGGCACAGTGCTTAATTAGTTAAGCACAGGGACAACTTTACGATTTTAGCTTGCTTACCTTACTTCCATAATATAAAAACCAGCTTGTGTTGATTGCTTGTCTGTGTGTCTGTGCATCCCCTCTTGACTTTTGAACGCCTGAACAAATCTTTATGAAACTCTGTATGTACGTGTGTATCATGGCACCTGAGTCTATATCAACAGCGTACTTCATAAATCCCTCCAATCAGTCTGTATATTTGTATGTATATCCTTCCTGTCTTTTCTAGGCAACGGCTCGGTGGAAACGTCACCGCGGCAGCCAATACACACGCAACAACTGAAGAATTTTTTGGAAGCGTCCTTTTCTATGCGGTCCGTGTCTACCAAAGGAAGCAGGCGATTAATTCTTCCCATAACTTCTTGTTTGAATACAGTCTTCAGATCAGAGGATGCTCAACTACTTGTGTGCCAAATTTCACAACCTCAGATCCTACAGTTTCTTTTTTTAGAAAAATTAATTTGTATTTCACGCAGTTCAGATCGCGAAGATAAGCCCTGCACTTGACGTCACCTCTCAGCTGAGAAGAATGCCGCTCTCCACTGTTACAATAGCGGCAACCTTGGGCCCGCTTGCGGCATGTGGTATCAGTCCCCTGTCCTCTTCTTATCTGGCCCATTCATGTGCCATTTCATGATAAGGCAATGGAGAAACAAACGGTAACCTGGTGAGAGCCTCGCCCTCATGTCGGAGTGACAGAGCAGCGTGGCCCATGATGCAATTTGCTTCACACCTCAGCGTCTACTCGTGTACCTGGAAGTACCGACTGTAATCAGAAAGTATTACACGGTTGTGACTACGTAGATCTTTACTGACGTTTCGGAGGATCATAATATTTCCGTCTTCAGGATTTAAGTACTTTAGTCTAGAGGCATGGGAGCCGACAGAGGAAGACCAAGGCATCTTTCGCCCAAGGATTGTATTTTAGTTTAGTTGAAGAATGAGGCAAATTTATAAAATAGTTAAAACAACATTAGAACTGTTTTTATAAAACATTACTCTATCCAAAATATCTCAGGATGATCAGTAAAATGGATCTTAGAGGGGGTGAACGTGAATTTGCAACCAAGGGTCTGGTTGTGTCCCCCCCCCCCGTAGAAAGCACCATAGCCGTGCTCATGCGTAGAAACGGCATGTTCCTCCGAAACGTCTGCGGCCACGTAGCAGACTATACGGAGTGTATTTACTTGTACTTTATTTAACGACGCTGTCTCTAGCTCTGGCTGCGTAGTGTCAGTTGCCTGGATGATAATGAATAATGCATTCGAAGGCCGTGGCCTATTGTAAGATATGACAATGAGGTGTGGTCCCACGATATATTTAGCTACCCTGAAGCACTTGCCCACTGCAAGCGGCACGGTGATTATCTTCATCCAATCCGTGCAGCACTGAGGATAAATGGAACTGGTTTTATCAAAAAACTTCTTGAAAGAGGTGCTCGAATGTTGAGTGATAATTGATAATTAGTGTGATAAGTGTAGTCTTGAAAGTTCCACCATGTGCGCATGCCCTCGTGTGACAGGAGCGGCACTTAAATGTGTTCCACCGGTTTCGTGCCGCCTAGTGGCGCAACTCTTGTGTGCAGAGCTCCTATGAGAGCCTTCACTAGAGGCCTTCAAGTCAATCAGAATTCAGTAGCCGCGTGTCTGAGCCTGAGAGGTTACAAAGTGTTTGGCAGACTTGCTGCAGGG